CCTGCCCCTGCAGCCCATGGAGATCCATGGAGAATGCAGAGATCCATCTGCAGCCCATGGTGAGACAGCCCTGCCCCTGCAGCCCATGGAGATCCATGGGGAGTGCAGAGATCCATCTGCAGCCCATGGAGGAGCCCGTGCTGGAGCAGGTGGATGCCTGGAGGAGGCTGTGACCCCATGGGACACCCATGGAGAGAGGGGCCCTGCTCCCAGGCTGGAGCAGCCTGCCCGTGGAGGATGCACCGTGGGAGCGTGACCACCCCACAGCAGTGTGGGGAGGACTGTGGCCTGTGGGATGGGCTCACTCTGGAGAAGTTCATGGAGATCTGTCTGCATGGCAGGGGAGCCCACAGTGCAGCAGGGCAAGGACTCCTCTCCCTGAGCAGTGGGAGAAGCCACGGGTCATGGACTGACCATGGCCCCATTCCTGTCTCCCTGTGCCACTGCGGGAGAAGGGAGAGCTGGGAAGGAGGGAGGGGGTGAGGGGAAGGTGTTTTTAAGGGTTTATTTTACTTCTCATTGTCCTGCTCTAATTTTGTTCAGTAATAAATATAATTAATATATCTTAGTTGAGTCTGTTTTACTTGTCACGGTATTTGATGAGTGATCTCTCCCACTCCTTATCTCAGTGCATGAATCCTTTTTTATATTTTCTCTGCCTGGTCCAGCTGCAGAGGATTGAGTGAGGGGCTTTGGTGGCTGCCTGGTGTTTGGCCAGCACCAGCCCACTGCAGTTGTGTGTCCAGAACTGTCAGCAGTCAACAATTTTCAGTTTTTATTTACCATAAAATAATTGTTTGTGTAATTTTAATGTGTCACTGTCTTTATTTAAGGTTAATATCCTCACATCCTTGAGGTTTAAGGTTAAGATCTCACATTTAAGGTTAAGATCTCACATCCTTGAAAATACAAAGAAAACAGCATATACATTTGATAACACTTGGCTACATTGTTTTTTCTCTCCCCGCTTCATCTCCATTTAAGATTTTCATGAATTCACAGCACATAGCAGAATGATTCAAGAAGTGCATGCTAAGGTATATTGAGGAAGTTTAGTTTACTTTTTTTAATGATGCATATGTATTTATGAGTTACAATTTTTCTAGAAAATAGGTAATACTTCTAAAGGGGAATTAATTTGAATTAATATAATGAGTAAAGTACTAATGAGAAAATATCAAGCTCAATATCAAAACTCAATTTTGTGTAATTCTGCCACTTCCAATGTGCAGTAGATGGAATTTGAGTCTATTGTTTGAATGCTAGGGTAATGGTTTATTTTAACTTCAAGCAGGGCTGGATCAGTATTGAATACAATGGAAAGAGGTGTGCCAAAGGCTGTTGAGTGCATGTAGTATGACATTAGGGTAGAACCTTGTTCTTAGCCTGTTCTATGGCTTGAATTCTGTAGGCCTGGAATTTGGTATGTAATAGGAATTTCTTGCAAAATTAATTTGCTCATGTAAGACATTGAAAGGCAGATACGAGTGGTAGAAATAGCTAGAAAAATTTTGACGAGTTCTACCTAAAATCTTAACAATTGTGACTGAAAAGCATGGAGTGCTGTTAGGTCTGCCCTTAACTTTGGATGTGAACAATGTATGTTCCTGGCTACTACTGTTACTGGTTTTGAATAGTTAGAATGATAACAGGTAATAACAGGAACAAACTTCAAACTTTAGTTTGCTTACTTTACTATTTTTATTTTTTATTTTGTTTGTGTTAATAGACCTAGAACCTCTTCTGTCTTTTAGGAAATCAGTGTACTTCTTTTAATTGTGTGGCTTAATCAGGCAATAGCACTTAGATTTCACACAGAATTAATTTTCGGAGTGGAGATGCAGGGGATGCTTATCTTGGAGCATCCTTATTCTGTGAACTGGTACCGCTTGGAGTTGAGGGAGCACATGTCTCTTTGCAGCATAATTTTTTTTCTATGGCTTGCAAACCACTAACCTTAACATAAAACATACTCTTAGTTCTTACTGACAGTATTCATGCCTATAGTATGTATCCATTTCAGGGCTTTAAAGTTTGATGTATGGCTAGCAGAAGCATAGGAAAATGTTAGATAAAAATAGTGATTGATTGGATCTAAAGTAGAGAGAGATGGATTTGATGGTTGGACTCTTAAGTGGATGAGAATTTGGTTGGTTGTTTGCATCCAGAGGGTAATGGTCAAGGGCTCAATGTCCAGTTGGAGATCAGACATGTGTCAGCAGTGTCCCTTAGGAATTCATATTGGAACCAGTACCATTCAGTATCTTCATCAGTCACATGGACAGTGGGATCCTTAACAGGTTTGCAGATGACACCAAGTCAAGTGATGCCCTGACACACATGAAAAGTGGGATGCCATCTAGATGGACCTGGACAGACTTGGAGAGGGGCCCATGTGAACCTTAAGAGGTTTAACAAGGCAACTGTGCAGGGTACTGCAGCTGGGTCAGAGCAGCCCTGGTACCAGCACAGGCTGGGCATGAACAGATCCCAGCAGCCCTGCCCAGAAGGAATTGGGGGTGCTGGTGGCTGAGAGGCTGGAGCTGCCCCAGCCATGGGCACTGCCAGCCCAGAGAGCCACACGTGTCCTGGGCTGCATCCAGAGCAGGGTGGGCAGCAGGGCAGGGAGGGGATTCTGCCCCTCTGCTCTGCTCTGCTGAGACCCCACCTGCAGGGCTGCATCAGCTCTGGGGGCACAGCACAGGAGGACAGGGAGATGTTGGAGTAGTCCAGAGGGGGGCCATGAAGATGATCAGGAAACTGTAGCACCTCACCTATGAGGACAGTCTGAGAGAACTGGGGTTACTCAGCCTGGGGAAGGGACAGCTCCAGGGGGACATTATCGTGGCTTTCTTTGGCACTTGCAGGGAGCTGATACGAAAGATGGGCACAGACTTTTTAAGTAGGCCCTGTTGTGATAGGACAAGGGATAATGGTTAAAATGTAAAGGGCAAATGTAGACTAGACATATGGAAGTTCTTTACAACAGGGTTGATAAAATGTTGGAACAGGCTGCCCTGAATTGGTAACTGCTCCATGCCTGTAAGCATTCAATGTCAGGTTGGATGAGGCCCTGAGCAACCTGATCTAGCTGAAGGAGTGCTCTGCTTATTGCAAGGTATTTGATTAGGTGATCTTTAAAGGTCCCTTCCAACACAATTTGTTCCGTATATCTGTATCTTATGGCTTTTGATGCATTACAATGTTTGTTATTCATGTTTTCTTTCAAGTGAGTTTGCCAAGGTGGATGTCGAAACAAATGTGAGATATTCTCTACACCAATCGAAATGGAAAGAAAATATGAAAACATAAATGCCATTTAAGATCTTGATGTCTAAGAAGGCTAGTAAAATGAAATTTGGAAGGAAGACTTTGGAAGATATTTGGAATGACTGATGAGTTGTATTTTAAGCTCCACTGGATTTCCTACCTCTGCATTCAAAAGTAATATTTTTTCAGGTGACAAACTTGCCAGACATATCTGTTTATTGTGAATGTAAGGTTTTGTTCTGAAAAATAAGTTTATTTTTTCCCATTTAATAAGAGTTTTTTACATTATGCAAGTTCTTCAAGACTGATATAACTAAGTTACAGAGGAGCTAGAAAAAGATACTGTTATTACCAGTGTAGAGCCTTTTGTTAATTTTCTGATTTTACATAATTACAATATTAATATAAGGCTTTATTTTTTTTTTCCTTTTGAAGTAGGCTGCAGCTTGAATAAAATAGGAAAAAAAGTCCCAGGTAAGAGTTTGTAGTGGTCTCTTGCGCTGGTGAATGTTTGAAATGCTTTACAGCAGTGCCAAGCCTACATATATTTGTACTACAAGTTAAAAAGTAATTATTTATATGAAAACATAGTTATTTTTCCAGCAGGTTTTTTTCCATCTTATGCTCCAGAATCTAGTATTTTTAAGTATTAAGATGGAATGTAATAAGCTGGAATACTTCAAAAAGTTAATTGTCCATTGTATTGGAGGGGATGTAGTGCTGGGTGTCCTTTTTGGGAAAGGATATTAATCTGTTTATAAGGGAAAGGGAGCATTTATTGCACATGGCATCATCCTTGACTTGTAGGTAATTTGGAAATAACCAGGTTGACTTGTCTTGAAATATAGTTAATGAATTGCCTTGCCGCAGAGCAGTTACAGACAAAAAGCACTATGTACTTTTCATATGGAACATTCTTGCAGCTCTGTTGCAAAGAATACCTCCTTACCCTGAATATTCTTGTGGCTCAGGAGCAGTGTGTTATCAGAAAAAAGGTTTTTCTAAACAAATGCAACCAGAATTAGACTGGTATTCAAAAGGAATAGTGAATTAAAACTTCCCTCTCCTTTGTTCAGGCATCTGAATTACATGGGAGAAATAGATGAGCTGGTTGGTCATTCTGCTGCTTTTATCAAGGCTTCAACTGAACATTCCCTAGCAAAGACAGTGGAATCTTCCCTGGACTAATTCTGCCAATAAGTGAAACTTTTATTGCTAGATCACCTATACATTCTAATTTCTTGAGGGAACTTCAAGAGATAGGCTTCAAGACCATGCTGCTAGAATTTACTAAGTTGTATTGTACGAGTTGTTCAAGGCTGAGTAACTAATGATGTGAAAACTTTTGGTATTTTAGAAAACACTAAAATACTTATCGTCTAACATTATGATTAAGCTATGTAGAGTGTTTAAAATATAAGAAAGTGAAGCAAACTTATAAAAATGAAAATCAGAGATAACTGGTCCATTACTTGATGGGGTCAGTTACCTCACAAATAGGGATGTAGACAGAGCAGAGGCATTAATGTCTTCACTTCTGTCTTCAACACAGGTCACAGGCTGTGGATCCCCAGAGGTCTCTCCAAGAAGGCCACGACTAGAGGGACAGTGAACTCCCAGCTGACTCTGAACTTGTCTGAGGCTTCTTCAGCTAGATGTGCATAAATTTATGGGTCCCAAAGAGATTCATCCCAGAGTACGGAAAGAAGTGGCTGATGTTATTGCAGGATCTCTCTCCCATACTACTCAACTACCTTGGCAGTCTGGAAAGGTCCCAATCTACTTCAAGTTGCAAATACTGTCTCAGTTCTCAAGAAAGGTGAGAAGGAATGTTGGTAATTATTGTCTCACTGCAGTGCTTGGTAAAATTATGGATAAAGTAATCCAGGAGTTACTGAAAAACAATGGAGTGACAATGCAGTCATTGATCAGCAAGGGCTCATGAGGGGAAGGTCCTCCTTGACATATTTCATTTCCCTTTATGTCAAGCTCCACCATCTAATAAATGATGGAAAGCCAGTGGATGTGGACTATAATATTGTAAGTTCACTTGGGGAAGTTTCTCCAAGCTGTGGCACTCAGGGATCAGGGTGGAGTTAGAAGAGGAAGAGTAGGAAGAGTAGTAGTAAGCAAGTACTAAGTACTAGTAATACTTAGCTTAAGAAAATGACTCACTGCCTCCTTGCTGATGATACTTTCCATTTTGTAACATTACTTTGTGTGTGTGTGTTGAAAGCTAAGCATTCATCTAAACATTCAGATTATTATTAATTAAGGTAATAGTTGTCAAATAAGATTCCTTCCCTTCAGCTGTTTTCAATAGCCAATATATTCAAGCAGAAACCATTTGGCACATTGTGAAAAATTGAGTAGCATTACCCAGTGACATAGAAGCCCTAGGCAACAGTAATTTTACTGATGCTTGGATGTTTTATGAATCAGAAGACAGTCTCTGTAGTGTATATTTTTTTTTCTTTGTTACTTGAATGTGATTTATAAAAACTTACTTGTCGTAAGTTTTGCTAGATACATAGTCCCAACACATACAAAAAACTTGCCTAAGTCCTTATTTCCATGATAGAAATGCAGGAGAGGGTTTCCTCTGGAACTGAGGCCTGATAGTATCTTATAATGTAACATTACATTGTTACATTGGAAACTATGTAAATTAACTTTTAGATAATAATTCTTGTATTTTTTTCAGTTGTCAGTATTTGGCATTGACATCCCAGGTCTACAGCTGCTGCAGATGTGCCTATGTTTGTATTCTTTTCTAGGATAACATGCAGGTGGATAGCTTGCTATATTCAGTGGTGAGTGAGTGTAGCAACTGAAGTAAAGCAATCCTCATGTATGCTTCCAGTAAAGTATGCTGGGGCTGCATGTAGAGGGAAGGTGCTATAAAATGGTTGCAAGCCATCCCTAATCTGGGTGCACCCCATCAACCTGTACCTCTTTTCCTTCTGGCAAGTTTAACTTTCCAAGGGCCTGATCACCCCACAGCTCAGTAGGTTCTCTCTGAAATTTTGGAGTTGTGGACTTTTGTCCCTGCTTCCTTGCACAGATGATTTTTTATGTGATCACCACAAAAAGCAAAAACAATGAAAAGTTTTGAAGTTTAGAAATGAATGCATACCTATGTAAAGCCATTAAATTCTTGCTGAAAGACATGGGATGGTAATGGGGTTTTACTGGCTTCTTTCTCTCCTTTAGGGTTTTGAGAAATAACTCACTTTTCCACAGAAATGAGAGGGGAACATGTCTTTAAAACAAAAATATTCATATGAACGAGTCAGTTGAGTCAGGCACGTCCCCCTCCTCCTGGTGGTGAAAACACAAAACACTTTGCTTCTGTGGCAGCCTTTCTCTTTTTTGGTTACGTGTTCAACATTGCTTCTTTATTGGTTCCCAACAGCACTTAACAGGTGCAATGAACTGATCAAATAAACCATACCCAAACCATAGGTAACAAGTAGAAAACAGAATTAACACTTTTCCTTAATTTACCCCATGGTTCTTTTGGGCAGAAGCAAAATCCTCTTTCACCTCTCACAGGGAGGTGTCTTTTTGACCTCTGCTCTGTTACAGCAGTCTAGTTTGCTTAATGTTATAAAGTGCTATCCATCTGCAGCAGACAGGTTATGAATTAAATTACAGTGCAGCAGGAGGAAACTTGCTCAGCCTCTACACCCAGTCTGGTACTCATAACCCCACATCTTCAGTGCTTCACTGTCCTTAATCAGTGCAACAGGTGGGCAGGAAAGCCTTCGGGAGTCAACTTTAGATGCTTTTAAGAGCAGATGAATTCACATATCATGTATACGTGGCAGCTGAGAAGCTAAGGTGTGGCGTGCTTTGTCGGGGTCCGTGCACTGTGCAGCATGAAGCACGCATGGAAAGGCCGGGCAGCAGGCTGATCAGCCAGCCCCTTGCGTGGGCAGCTCCCGGCCCAGCGCTGGTGCCCGCGGGAGCGCGGCCGGGCAGCGGAGCGGGGGCTGCAGCACCGAGCGGGACAGGGCAGCGGAGTGGGGGCTGCAGCACCGAGCGGGACAGGGCGCCGCTCCGCTCCCGAGGGCGCCGGGGCTGCGCACCCCCGCCCTGGCTCCTGCCGCCCGTTCCCTGTCCCTGGAGCCGCGGCGGCTGCCCCAGGCCCTGCTCCCCGGGAGCCTCCCAGCGCCGGGGGCTGTCACAAAGCGCCTTTGTTAGCGCGGGCTGCCGGGGCGGGCCCGGGCGCGTCCCGCAGCGCTCCCGCGGCGGCTCGGCAGCACCGCCCCCTCCCTCCGTGCCTCCGTCCGTCCGTGCCCGGCGGCGGCGCCTGCCCCGGCACACGAGGCGCAGGTAAGGCGCCCGCTGCCGCGGAGGGCGAGCGCGGCCCGCAGCTGCTGCCGCGGCCCCGGGGCACGGTCCGAGCCTGCGGCGCCCCGCTCCGAGCGGCTGCGGCGAAGCTCCGCGCTGGGACCGCGCCCCGGCGCCGCCGTGCGCCTGGGCGGGCTCCGCCTTTGCGTGCGCTGTCAGTGGCCTTCGGAGCCCCGAAAGGCGGAGAGGGATTTCAGTGGGGTTTTGTTGTAGCTTTGTTGTTGTTGTTTTTAAATATATGTGGCTGTTTGTTGTCCTGTTTTAAGTTCACTACTTTGCCATAAAAGCTACTCTCTTCCCCCCTCCCCCCCCCCCTCCCCAGTTTTTCCCTCAGTGGGGACAAGGTATTCGATCTTAATCATAAAGATGCTTGCCTTTCTTACACAGAGCAAAAGAAGTTTTTAACTACGTTACTCTTAACTTTTTTAATAGCCAAGAATATAAAGGAAATTAAAGCGTTTCTAATGGTAAAATTCTGAGAAACATCTTTTGAAGCTGTTCTTGTTGGGGCACTGCTGTGTGCGGCTTAGAGATGTGCCACTAAAAATCCTTCTTCATTTTTACGGCCTTAACTCATGCCTCTGTATCTGATCTTATACAAAAATGGTTGAAGTTCTGCTCGTAAATTTTTTAAAGCACACAGATGTGACTGAAAATCTACCAGATGTTTTATTTTACAGAAGTAATTTGCTCTTTACTGCACATTGTGGAAACAGGATATCAGGGGGCATTTTACTAAGCGGGATTTTCCACATAAGTAAAGATGGAGCTGTATTCTGTATACTCAGGATGAAAAAATGACAGGACAACATCTGGTGGAAATATTGAACTACTTAAATGCTTTTGTTTTTCCACAATGGGTTTGAATATTAACTGAACCAATGAAAGTGGTTGTGTAGGTGTATCTTGGTAATAGGCAGCTCATCTGGCCTTCTCAGTTAACTTGCAAATTAGACATTTATGCCAATCATTTACGGAATTTTCAAAAACTTACCTACAAACTAGTTGAGTTGTATCTTTCAGGCTTAGGATCATTAAGACAAGCAGATGCCACCAAACTACATTAATAGTTAAAAGAGGGCTATAAGTTGCACTTCTCAATGGAAGCTGCTGCTTTGATTATTGGAATTATGTTTAATGAATTTTGGTATAAAATTTTTTTTCTGGTTCTTGGTGTAGAGCTTGTAGCACAGTTCTAGTTGTCCATGAAGGTGGAGCACCAATTACAAAAGTATCTTTAAATACACAGAATATCCTCTTGCTTTCTTAATTGTAGTAGTTCAGTGGATGGCCAAGCCTGAGGGATGATGAAGTGTCACAAGATAGCACGGGAGCCCTCAATTTTATGCATTTGTAGAACCAAAAGTTTCTGGTCCATTTCTTTGCTACCTTGTCATTCAGCTGTACAACTGTGCTGCATGAACTATTTCAAGGGTTTGCTGTTGCTCTGGGTTCATAGAGCCCAAACTAGGGAGTAATAAATGGTAAAGCCGTAAAAAAAATCACAATTAGAAAGCTACTGTCTTTATCAAAACAGGTGTTAAAAGGAGTGAGGTAAGACAGGTGTCCCACAACATTATCAAACATATTTTATTTATTTCAGTAACCTTAGTAATACATTTGATTTTATTTTTGTCTTTTGGTAATGTAAAACCCACATTTCACATTTTTAAGGTCTAGGGCCCCATTTTCTTTTTAGTTGAAATGAAAATGCTACATTAAGAAGGTTAATACAGGAATACATAAAGAATGTATTTTGCCAACCTCAACAGCAGACTTCTGTCAGAAAAGAATTTTTTTTCCTGTGTTTTAAAACCCAAAACTTCTTTAAAGGTGAAGAAGTATGGTCCTTTTTTGGAGACTCTTGAATTTCCTTCTAAGGATCACAAAATGGCTATGCTTTTCACAAAATAATTTGTATGTATTTTGGTATTTCAATAGCCCTATATGGGGTGATTTTTTTGAAATAAGATTTAAGCTTCTGTTTGTCTCAAATTGTTGAGAAGAGTGACATTTTAAAAGATGGTTAGCTATACTTATTCTGTTCAGTTGCCCTTCAAGAGCAGCTAGTGTCTGGTGAAGTATCAGCACTAGTGCACTCTGCTTCGTGGTAAATGTGATAGGCAAAGGTTTATTTCACCTCTCAGTTTGAGTAGTGTTAGAAGGCAGTAAATGAACGTGCTTGTGAAGCTATGAGCTGAGGGTTCTGCTTTGTCCCCTCCCTATTCTCCGATGCTCTATATGTTCAAGAGACCCTAGCGGAAAAACGGAAGATCATCTCAAAAACCTGTGCTGTAAAGTTAAATCTCTGACTTTGGGAATGTAATATTTATTATGTATGTATTTTCAGCTTGCTAGTTTTTTCCCTTTCATTTATTGTATCCAAGATCTTTTAGTCAGGTTCAGAAAAAAGACCTGTACTTAAAAGACTGTTCTGTACCACATTTGACCTGGTGGCTGTGCAGTGTAGTTCCTGGTGCTGGGGAAGCTGTGAGTGAGCCTTTGGTGTACTAACATAACATAACATAACATAACATAACATAACATAACATAACATAACATAACATAACATAACTCAGATGAAATCTATAAATTCAGGAACACAGTTTAGTTCTGTTGCTGTGCTTTTATAGTGGGAGCTGTGGGATGAGTGTTAGTAGTGGACACTGGCTTGTCTGTGAGCACCATACTGAAATCTCACAGGTTTTGAAGAGTATTAAGATCTGAGAAATATAAACAGATTATTTGCATGGTCAAAAAAAAAAAAAATAGAATAGTGGTGATGGTTAGTTACACAATCAACAAGCAAAAGAGAGCTCAGTAGAAGACTTCTTGATCTGCATATGCTGCTAGACTTCTACAAGACATTTTGCTAAGACAAATATGTTGGATTTTAAAGCATTACAAATGATGCTCTGAGGATTCCTGCTTGCCTTCCAGTGCCTCTGGGTGGGATGCATCCTTGCTTTATTGTGGTTTTGGTTGACCACAAATACAGATTTAATGTGTCTTGATATAGGGGTAATAAGACTAATTCTCAGCATTTTATAGACATGGGTTTCAGTGTGACCGTCACCAAAAAGAAGGGTAGTTAAAAAGGAAGAATTGAGTCCAGGACAGCTCATTTAGGGTTTATTTATATAGTATATTTTTGGCGTTAGGTCAGTTGCTTTGCTGTTACGAAGTAGCAGGTCTGTGGCATGGACTGTGATCTGAAAGGAAAATGTACAAGCAAAGACCTTATGTTTTGTTACCTTTGAATTGATATTCAATTGATATTGATATGGGAGTATGAAATTAATGTTTTATACCGCTGCTCACACCTTGCATCTCTCTGTAAGGCACAGTATTTTTGCACAAACTGATCTGGTGCAGCTTAAAGAGCTGTGGCTTGCTGGAGGCTTGCTGGAACAGCCACAGAGCACAGAAATGTTCAGTGAAGTTTGTACAAGTGACTGCTGGATTGCAGAGCGGCATCAAAGCCAGAGTGCCATTTTTACATTCTCTGTCTCTTTCTTCCGCAGTGATATGCTTTATTTACAGGGAAGAGGAGAGAGTTAAGTCACTGGTTGTGAGCTGAATTGCTGTAGGATCAGGAAATGCCTTTCTGTGTTTAGGAAAATGCTGCATAGACAGTAAGTGCTAGGACAGCCAATAGTAGTCACAGTGGTGGCTGGAGGGTCACCTTGTCAACTGGTAGAAATGCCTTTCTGCTGATAGTTAAATAATGCTTCCCCTTATTTAATTTCTTGGTGTGTACAGAATAAAAATGTTTGATAACTGATGTCTTATAATGCAGTTAAGTAAATAATGGATGTCTTTATTTTCCATGGGTTTATTTTCTGACTGTAGTCCTTCTAACATATCTTGATAATTGGGGAACCCATACTGTAAAATGCTAAAATTTATAATGTTGAAAAAATTTGAATATATGACAGTCCCATAATTGACAACCAATAAATAAAATATTGGGTGAAGAATATCGGAATTACATATTCCAGCTATGAATGAAACCTCTACTGCAAGTCTTCCCAGTTTGCACCATATCACCATATCACAACATATGATTCTATTAAATTAACTGCTAAACTGGATGCTGAGAAGGTTTTTTTGTGTGTATAGATGAATTCTGCTACTGCTGTCATTGGCAGTGTGGGCAATGCCTGAAACCAGACCTGTTTGTTAGGTGTCCGTCGTGCTGGTTTCTGTGTCAGAGGCACAGATGTCGGAGGAAGGGATCAGGTGTTGCTCTGTGAAATTATGTGCATTCGTGATGTCGGGAGCTTGACCCTGCCCTTGCTGTGTGGGGTAGGACTCTGCCTTAGCACTGGAGAGGATTTGTCTGTGTGGCACCTTGTGTGTTCTGAGGGTCCTGCCTTTTTTGAACGTGGGCAGTTCTTTGCTGTACAGAGGAGGTGAATGGTGAGTAGTAAGCTGCATGTGTGGTGTCTCTTTCAGTCCCAAGACCTGAAATGGAGATTGCACAAGCGCTGTGCTGTAGCCAGAGCTGAGTGTTTCCTCCCTACGTGCATCCTCTTCTTCCTGCCTCTCCCAGCCACTTCCAGCAGCCAGGCTGAGTTACTGTAAGCCCCAGACAGAGGAAAGACGTGAGCCATACACGTGGAATTTTTTCTAAACAGCCAGCATTCTTAAGAGTATGAGAAAAGCAAAAGAAGCCGCTTAGTGCTGTGTGTTGATATTTATTGATTCTTCTGCAGAAAGCAACAAATACCATTAGATACTCCTTTGCATCCAGGAATCTGTTGTAAGCTGGTTTGTCAGGCAAGTATGCAGATAAAGTACTGATACTCTTTCAGCATGGTTCTGGTCAGTGCTGTATGAAAAACCTTGGTTGGTTCTGATGAGCTTATTCATCCACTCAAGAATCATGTTGAGCTAGGTACTTAGTATTTCCAATTTCTCAGGCTCCCAGGGGATCCACAGTGTGATGCAATCAAAGGGTGGAAGGAAGCTAGGACGGCACCACAAGTGAGTTGTGTTTGTATTTGCCAATACAAAACAACTTTGTTGTGCTGGTGATGGAATTTTTATCCTCCAAAGGAAGAGCTAAGTTATGTTTTCTTGCTCACGCTTTCTGTAGAGTAGGTAAACTAGACTGGGTACCTGCCTATCTCATCCTTGCAGAGGAGGTAGATGTTGAGATACATCTCTTAAGGCTTTGGAGGTCAGAATAATCATTTGGCAAAAGCATCCAAGAGTAGTTCTTACTCCCTTGGCGTGGTATAATGACTGGAATGTGGTCATGTTTTCTTGAGGAGAGAGGAGATGGTGGATTTTAGTTTGGATGTGTTCCTTTAAAGATTGAGAACCATTGTAGGTGGAGGAGTTTTATACATAGGAATAAAGCAATGGCGTCAGGTGGCTGACTGATGTGTCTCTTGTTTCAGACAGCCATGAAGTGATGCCCACTTCAGAAGAGCAGCCGTAATTGTGAGGCCTGGGATAGATATTAATGCTCGTCATCTATTCTGTCAGCTAACACTTGTGGAAGGCTCTAGCTTAAACTACTCCTTGTGGAACTAAGGTTACTGTTTCTTAACTTCTCTTGTAACCCTGTTTTCTTCTGTACCAATAGAGCTGTGCTTCACAGGCTGGTGCTCTTAAGGTTGGGCTCAGGATGCTGCTGCTGGAAGCTGCAGAGCTTTGTCTGTTGAAGTGAGATGCCTTGGAGTCAGCTGGAAGATACCTCCTTTCTGCACAGAAAACAAGAAACCCCTCTGCCTGAATCTTGCTGCTGAATAGGCTGGCTGGATTAGTGTTCGCCTTGATATCTTTTTCTCTCAGTATGAAAGGTTTGGATGTTTTTTGACTGAATCTTTGTGACCAGTGATTTTGTAAGGGACTTTGCCTTGTTTTATAACTGCAGGAATGTGTGGATTTGTGAATGTACTTGAGTTGATGGGCACCTGAAGATGAAAATTAACAAATTTGAGGTTTAAAAGGACTATATGCATGGATGGTAATCTTTGGCTTCAACTGAAGCCATGCATTTAATTTCTGAATTTGTAGGCAGGGAACTTCTCAAATCCTATCTGACTCATACAATGCTGTATATATACATTAGCATGCAATGAGCTGCACAACTGTGTTGTTCTTGGAAACTGTTCAGCTGTAAAAACAAGGCCACATCTGAGCTGAGACAGCCCTCTCTTAAGACAGGCTTTTTTTTTTGTAGCCTGTTGTAGCAAGTTGAGAAAGACTTGTGCATAGTTGTTGAGCCCACCTTGCTGCTCTGGTATGCTTTTCCCATTTGAAAGGAATATTACTTTTAGACTATGAATTTTGAGGGTGTAGTGAATCTCAAATATAATTGTGGAAATCAGAGTTGCTATGATGACTGTCTCTGTATTAGATCTGGTGAAGACTTGTCTCAGTAGTTTGCTGTTTATGGTAGTTAAGGCAACCTGCCCTGGGGATGACTTCTGTCAAGTTGCTGAAAAAAATCAACACCAGACACTTGGGAAATTGGTCGGGAGTAAAAGTTGCTACAATGCAGTTCAAGTTAAATTCTTTACTTCTAGGGATAAATGCTGAAATTCCTGCTACTTAATTGGCTGCAGCTAGGAGTGTCTCAGCAGCTGGGCTCAGCCTGACCTGTTTTGTTCACTGTTTCTATTATCTGAAATGCATGCGACATGTTAACTAACACCAGCCACCCCTCCTCCAGCCTTACGTAGGCATTATGTGACTCTGGTGAAAACCAGTGTTTTCTCATTCTGGGGAGATTTAGGACAATTGATAAGCTTAACATCTTTCCCCCCACCTTGTCCCCCCAGTTCTGGAAGATGTTGACCTAGTTTGCAGACATGAATTGCACATTATATCAAGGCCTCATCATGGGTGTGTAATAATTCCACTCGTTTATTCTGTTTGTAGATGCAGTGACAATGGAGTTAAGCTGCTCTGAAGTACCTCTTTATGTAAGTCCTACAACACTAGGCTTCTGCCTGGAGAGTTGCTTTCTTTCGGGTAACAGCTCATTCAAAATCAGGATGAATGAAACTGAAGTCCATTCTCTGTTTTTCTGAGACTGGAGGATGTTGAATGTTGCTGTCTGATGACAGCACATGTAAAAGTGGTAGTTTCCAGTAGTGCAGTTCAGCTCTCTGAAGGAAGTCTTAAATTATTTCTCTTTTGTGATAATTATTTTATTCTCCTTCAGTATTCTCAATTGCAATTTTCAAAATCAGTTTTACTGCCTGTGAAGAGACACCTCTCATTTGCTTTCCCACAATTTTTTGTTGTTTTTTTCCTTACAAAATTCCAAACTACCATTCTCTCAGTTTCCACAAAGCAGGAAATTTTGTGTTATGTAAAAAAATAAGTTGAGATTTATAATGAAATGGATTTTTTTCTGCAAAACAATAATTGCTTAGTTGCTTAAAATAGATGTAAAATAGAAATAATTGCTTAAAATAGATGAACTACAAGTTAAAAAACAAGTAGTCGTGTGACTGACGACCTACATTAGATAACTTAAATTTTTTTTGTGCCTTCAGGGAGATGTGATTGTGAGTAATAAATCTTGGGAACTCTTAACAGTTATTATTTAAACAAGTTACTGTGTTTTTTTATACCTGTTCTGCTTTGCAATGAGGGTAGCAGGGGTACATGGATGATGCCTAGTGGAAAAATGAGAGAACAGTGAATGGTTTTCAAAAGGGTGGCAAAAGATAAAACAAAGAAACAAAGAAACAAAACAATTATCTTATCATAATTGAAGTGCCTTTGCAGTGTGTTTGGGAAAATCAAAGAGTTCTGAGTGTCCTGAAAAAGTCCATGAGTAAGGGCAGTTTTCTCCTTTAGTTAGATCCAGTTATTCCATAAGTTCTGGAAACGCCTTCCAAGTATTTCTGCTTTATTTAAGTGACTTTGTTGGAAAACACAATCAAATCAGCATTTAAGTTAAACATGAAGGCCCTTTCTGATTGTTCAGTTCCTTTGTCAGTTTTTATTAAGCAGTTCTTTGACAAGCTGAGCTTGTCTAAATACTGTTCCATCTCCATCACCTGAATGTTGCTGCCATGTTCCATAAGCAGGGATAGAGAAAACATCTCTGGAAAACTGAGGAAACAAGACAAATATTTGCCCTGCTGTGAATTTAGGTATCTGTCTGATGTGTTCCAGTCCCTTCTAAAAGGCCACAGTGGAACTACAGAATACCATGTCATGGCAATTGCACACTGTTCACATGTGACTTCAAATATGTCAGCGTACGGTTCTAACACATTGTTTTCCACAAGAAAAGTGAAAGAGATCAAAAGGTAGGAAGTAATATTTTCCTTCCAGCTTCTGTGAAAGCATAGGTTTTGTTCATTGAGGGAGGGAGAGATCTGCTGTATGTTGGGTCCAAAATTAGGATTCTTTTCACACTGTGTGTAAACATGCTTAGCATCTATATCCACTGGGTTTTACCCTCTTCTTTGTGGTAAGGATGCCTGTTTTGAGAGGTTTGCATTTCATGCCACACTGAGAATAACTGCAGTTTTGTGTTTATAATACACATTTTTGAAGATTATATGTAGGATATTTTGTTGATTCACTCTATGTGAGCAGCTGTTAACACAGCTGGAGCATGTGTCCATACAGTGTGGCTTCTTCAAACTGTCACACTTCAGCATGAAATGTGGCACTGAATTACTGAATTTCTTGGCAAATTTAAACTAGTATGTGTAATCTTGTTGGTCTAGTGATGGCTGTTCTGTTTTGTTACCTAAGAGGGAATGCTTTCCAAAAGCTCAAGGATCTTGCTGATTTGATATAATTTTTGTGAAACATCATTTAAGAATACTCTATGCAATTCCTCTATTGTGAAAATGCATTATTTAATACACTTCTTCTCTATTTAATTTTGGTGGCAGAAGTACATTAAAATCTAATTACAGCAGACATCGGTGCCATGATTTAAAAAAAAAAGGTAATGAAACAGAAAATCAAGCATTTGAAGCACATTTCCTCAGTTAATTTGAAGAGCTTGTTTCTGCCTTCTAGGCAGCAAATTATTGTTAACCACTCTATAAAGTTACTCTTTACAAGCCAATCTAGTGTTCAGGACTGAGGACACTGACATAGTTCATAGTTCATCATTTTTTAATGCTAATAATTCATCATTTAAGTATATAGAACTTGAATGTAAGTAGCTTTTGCCCTCCTAAATTATGCTTTTTTTAAACCAATACAAATAAAAATATATTTAGCCAATTCTATCTGTAAGAGGAGCAGCAAGCTGAGTTTTTAATTTCATTGTACGCATAAGACACAATGTGGAATAAAACCTCACTATCTTCTGGAAGACACTGGTCTCATTGTAGATGGAAAAAAGGCTATTCATGAACAATGAAAGATAAAAGCAAAATATTTGATGAAGCACTCTTCAGATATTAAAGAATTTATGTATGTCCGTTGTTCCTCCTATTGTAAGCAGTTTTTAGTGTGGAGAAACAAATCTCCCTCATGGAAAAGCATTCCTTCTTATTTAATGGCAAGTAACTGGGTTTTGTTAGTTTTAAATAAATGTTATTGATTACCAACTTTGATCTTTGATATTGGCAAAGAAATACCTTACTGCCATGGGGCAAACATACTGTGGAAGTAGTGAGCTCCCAAGAGCAGTAAATAAGTGTTCTCAGCAGTTTGTAAATTATTTTCTGCTGGGGGCCTTAGGAATGTTTCCCATGGGAGCGGGAGAGATAAATAAATAAATAAATAAATAAATGCTGAGCCACAGGGGCTACTTCCAGCAATTTTGTGGAGCCACCAAAGGGACCTCATCTCCCCAGGAGATGGTGCTGAAGGGTATGTATCTGTCTTTCCAAAGGAACTTTTGGAATTCTCTGTGAAGAGGCAGAAGAACAGGCTCCTGCCTTCAAGACTCAAGATCTTCTGGAAATTAGAACTTTCATTTGCTCTTGTGCTGCAAGGTGCTTACTATTCTCAAAATGTACACTCCTAAGGTATCGCATGTTCCTGTGTAACCACTGGAGCTGGCTTGAAGTCCTCAAGGTTTAAGCTTAATTACCTTCTCTTGTGTTCTGTTATACAAAGTCATCCTCTTAAGGTGCCCCTGCTCCAATGTTTTTACTTGGGGACAGTTTTGTTTCTGACACTATTACATCTTCCTGGGTGAAGCATAGGTGCTAAGGAGAGAGAGGTGCTTAATACTGATGTATGGAAGTATTCCTACAGGGAAGTTTTGGAGGGGTTCTTGGCTGGGTTGGGGAGGGCAGAGAGTAGGATGTGGCACCAGGCTGCTTGCAGCTACAGTGTCTGAGGAGACTCTCAGACTTTGGGTAAGCTCAGTGATGATCTTAGCCTGGGCTGGGTCTGCAGAGTGCCAAGCTCTATTCCAGCATGATTTTGTGTGATTTGGGTGGGAAGCGGCAGTAGGACTTAGGTATTGATTGTGAGTAGGTGATTGTCTCCCTTGCCCAAGCTGTCTGCCTTCCCAGTTCCTCCATGCTGTAGTTGATGTTTGAAGAAGGGTGGAAAGGGATGATTTTCCATGGTTGGATACAGCTTGTGTATTTGCTGCTCTTGCCAGGTAGTCGGTATCTTCTAGCCAGCCCTTTGTGGAAAGATGGTTTCTGGCCTGTCTTGCCCATTCTGTGCTTTCACATTCTTTGCTTGCAGTGGGTCTGGCCCTAATTCTGGGCCTATCTGTGTGTTCAGTGAGGCTGAAATGACTGCCTTACTTAGACTTCAAAACACAAAAAGTAAGTGTGGTTTAAAATGTGAATTTGTATTGGCCTTTCAGCATACCTTTGCTAATGCACAGAGCTGTGTTGCATGGAGCTGATCCAGCTCTGGCTGGAGTCAGGAGCAATTTGCTGTTGTCTGCTCTGGGAGCCTGGTCAGGTCCATCATAGAACGCCTGCATGGGGATGCACAAAAGAGTATGCAAAGGCTGGCCTCTGGATGCAGGCTTGCTGCCAGAATGAGACTGAGAAAATGTATTTGAAAGTATGGGACCTGTTTTAAAAAATATGAAAGAATACAATGGGTGCTTCAAAAGGTGTCCATCAGCAGGCAGATAATTTTTGTTCCACTGGTGTATTAATTTTTTTCCCCTCAGTCCTTAAACTGAGATTTTTCTGGGCAGGGACTTTGTGCTTACATGTTTTTGTGTAGTGTCTGCAGCAGTAGAGCCCTGATATTACATAGGACATGAGAATAATAACTGGTCTGATTTGTATATTTTAAACCAAGTCAACTGAAAGAGATTACTCCTTTTCTTTTAGTCAGCAGTTGCATGTCGGAAGGGAAGTTAATTTTCTTATTGCAGAAATTTTCTGACCTATGTTAATATCTCTTTCTTGAGCTTCCTAATTCCACCATATTACTTCATGCATGAACATAAGTTGTGTCCCTGACAGCAAAACACTGAATGATATTTTCAATGATAGATGAGCAAGAACAATAATGTATGTTTAAGCAGTGGGTTTAAATTTTTTTCTATTTCTTCTGCTTTCTCCCCTCTCCTTTCTGATGAAAGCATTCCAGATATTTTTATTTTTATCCAGTGTTTCCAGAATGAAAAGATATTCCATTTATTTATTTATTTATTACTTATTTATGTTATGTTGTTACCAAATAGGACTCTGAAAATTTTTCTCCAACTTTGCTGCTGTCTCAGTTTGATAATTAGCTAAACACAGCTTTAAGACTGGTGGTGGCAAGGTAAGGAAAATAAAGTCAGTTTGATGTAAAGTGCTGATTTGCTGTAGACCTGTGCTGCAGTCCAGACTGTTTAAAAACACTGGTAGATTAATTCTGCATGAATGGTCAGTTCCATGACTGTCTCTTATACTGCTGCTGACATAGAGCAGCCGTAAAGACCACAAAGCCAGCAAAAGCTCTGTATCGTATGCTCTCACTGATGCCTTAGGATTTTAGCTTTAATATTTTTCATGTATTTGTAATCCTGCAATTCTTTAGTGTATAACTCTAAACTCCATATAGAGTGCTATTTAGTGCTTTCCCATTTTGATCAGAAAAAACAATTCCTCTCCAGGCCTGGGGATCAAGGGTTCCTCACTGTCTCAGGCCCTGAGAAATGTGGACAAAATGTGGACGAAATGTAGACAATTACAGCTGCAAGTAATGAAGTCAATGCTGGGCAAATGGGGGTGGGAGCAAACTTGGGGTAAACGACTTCATTACTTGCAGCTGTAATTGGAAGATTAACCCCCCCCAAAATGCAAACAGACCAAACATATAAGTACAAAAACCCATGACCCATTGTCCTCTTTCGGGAGGCCTTGTCTGCCCTAGATGTACCTGAGGGCCCTTCAATAAATAGAATTATTTTTGTTCCCTTAATTTTTTCTGGTCTCTGTTTTTAGGTATCTCCAGCAGACACCATCACTAATTCAGCAAAAATGAGGCTGTGTTCCCAGAGTCTGACATGGGTCAGGTTAGTGTGGCTGGATGTTGCTTATGGTGACGTGGAAGTGGTGGTGGTGCCAGCTGTATCTTAAATTGAGTAAAGGACTGGTTGAGAGGAACAGGGGTTAAACAGAAGAAACTCCTTAGGACTGAGGAGGACAATTTTTTTGTGGTAAGATAATGCCATAGAAAACAAAGATCTGGAAAGCATCTGGACATGTTGCATGTGCACTAAATGAAAAACATATGTCTAATACATGATTTTTAAAGTGGGTAATGTTAGAGGCAGCTTAACAGTGCACAGTAGCGTAGACTTGCAGACATATGTATGTCATGACCTGTTACTTTGTTTCTTCTTATTAGAGGAATTTTTTTTTCTTGCTTCTGTTTTTTTGTTTGTTTTTTTTTTTTTTTTTTAAATTCAGTTGGATTCTAATTCCTTTAGCTGGAGGCAAATCTTGCAGTTCTCAACAAAAGCCCTTGTTTTTCTGTTTGTGTCTCTGAAGAGAGCAAACCTTTGTTGAGGCTAGTGAAGAGGTAGAAAGTGTAACTCATTTTGAGACATCAGCTTTGGGTAAAAGCCAGTGTATACAATTTCAGAAACTCCCAATATATCGGATGCATTTCAGTCTGTCACTGAAAGGGGAGTATTGCAGTAAGCTTGACTGAAAACCCACAAGGTTTAAGGATGGTCTTCTATTAAACCCCAACAACATAAAACAATCCTTTCTCTCTCTTCCCCTAATCAAGGCCAAAGACTTGTTAAGTCGTTAAAGAAGCACAAAGTTTGTACCAGGCTCAAGAGGTGGGAGAGGCCAGACACGGATTGTTTGGGTGGGAGGAAGTTCACAGTGCTGTGTGTTAGGGGACTGTATGAGTGGTGTTTTCAAGCAGGATGAGGAAAATCCATCTCTGGGGAGTAAACTTGGGCAGCTTTTATCCTGCTGTGAGGCAGGGGAGTCAGCTAGTTAATTTGTCAGTATCTCCTCCATCCTTCTTTGCTTGGTCTTAGAATATGAATCCCAATATTACCAGTTAGATTGTGGCTGGGCCAGTCTGACCCTTGCTGCCAGGCCAAAGGTGGCATCTGTGGTGCATCACCCCAGAGACACCTTTAGCTTGCTGGTGGTTGCAGCCGGGCTCTAAACAAGTCCAGGCTTGTTAGGAACTCCATTTACCTCAGGAAGAAGGCTTCAGGTGAAGGTGAAGAGCAAAAAGGAGAGGATTCTGATGGAGGGTTTAATCCAGTGGTTTATTCCATGGTTACAAAGGTCTGAATCTTGGGAAGAGCTCCAACAGAATTCCGACTGCATGGCCTGCTTCACCTTTTAAGCTCAGGGGGAGGGGAGGGGACAGGTGAGCCACCAACCAGGTGGGGGGGCGGGGTCTCAAGGGATGAGGGACACCTAGACAGGCCAATGACCTCTGGGCCTGAGGGGCATCCTTTGAACTTGCCCAACCGCACGACGCCTTTGCTGGAATGTTAAGCCTGATTGACAGGACTCACTCAGCAAGGGGGCGAGGGGAGAAGGGAGACCGGTATTGGCACACCTGGGGAAAGGACCTGAAAGTTTAAAACACACCGCAACAGCTTGGAGTGTACTTTTGTGGTTAGTTTGGATGTAATAGAGTACTTAATTTTTTTCCACTTTATGTGGGCTACTTACTCAAAAAGGTGGCTCTAACTTCTACCAGTATTTAAAAAACTCACTGCATCTGAATCAAAATGAGGAGCTTCCTGCTTTTTCATATCAAAAGAGGGAAGCTTATTAGGAAATTAGCTGAATTAGGATTTTCTCTTTCAGTGCTTTTCTATTCAAGATAGTGCTGAGGCCTTGCTAGAGGCATCTTTCAGCTTTTGATTTGGTGGTCACTGAACACTTTCTTTTCTCACTTTTTTGACAAGAACAGAGAGCTGCTAGTCAGTGGACTTTCTGCGTGCTGCATTGCCTTAAGCACCTGTGGGGGTGATGCTTCTTACTTGTGCTGGAGGTATCTGTGCAAATGCATCCTCTGCATTTCTCAGAAACCTGCCACATACTGAAGAAATACCTGCAGGTGGTTGATGCATAAAGCTGATGTGGTTTGGAGAATCTGCCATTGTGCACTTTGCATATTTTTAGCTGTATAGTTTGAAAGCTAATGCTTCTAGAGAAATGTTCAGCTTTTATCTCTCCTTTTTTTTTTTTTTTTTCAGTTTGTAACTTCTTCCCTTCCCTGAATGCAGTGTTGCTGTTTGATTGTGTGCTGAATCCCATTGCATTCAATTCAGTTGCAGTGCATGCTTTTTAAGCAAGTCCATAACTGCATTTGCTGCAATCTGTAGACAAGGTCTGTCTGGTGGACACTATAAAAACATCACAGAGCATTGGAAAGGCATATTTATAACTTTTTTCTTGCTATTAATATTTTGAATATGATTGATTTGGATTAATTTAGAGTTTTCCTACTGCTAAAATTTCCCTATTTTAGCGTCTTTTGTGTAGAAGCGTTCACAGTTGCAGGTGAGTTGCAGAAGGGTCATTAAAACTATATGGCTGCTACTGTTCTTGTCCAGGCACAAGTAAAATATAAACATTTTCTGAAGTGAACCTTCTCAACAGTGAAAAAATATATATGTGAAATTGCAGTGGCGAGTAGCAGCTGACATAGAGGAAAATATTCCTATTATTGCTGGCAATACTTGGAGATTTGCATTTGCTTCAGGGTGTTGGGATTTGTGTTTTGGGAACAATTAAGCCACCGTTTTACCCTAGCACATAAATATTTTTCTTACAGCATGTAATTACAAAGCTGGTATTTGTTTGTCCTGTTACATTTGGAGATGATATTCTTGAAACCCTGGATAAAACATTACTTCTCAAGCTATTACACTACATTCTTAGTTTGGTAAGGAAATTTTTAGCATGCTTTAGAATGTGTTATTTTTCTGATAAAAATCTGCTGGGAAAGTAGATTTTTCCAGGCTATGTATACATGGTTAGAGAGCAATTGTTGAAATTAAGCATGGTGGCTTGGGTCTGGAAGTCCTGTAAAGATCTTTTTGTGCCGCACCTGTTTTGCTGGGGCAGGTTCCTGGTGAGGAAGATGGTGGTTTTCAAAGTGGAAGAAGCACAGTTCACATTAATGGCCAGTTATTTGTTGAGGCATGAAGTGTCTTGCAGCAGGCTGGGGATGAGGCATAATGGAAGTGCCATGGTCAAACCCCTCCTGCCTGCTTGTGTTTCAGCTGTGAGGGATTCCTACCCACACTGCCTTCTCCCCAGAAAGCCTGCCTCAGTCCCCCAAAGAACAGGGTCAGATGAGTGTCAGGAGGTGGAAGTTCTCCCAGGTATGGCCTTTGCTGTTTCCTGCCCAGGACAGGGGTTCAGTGGACCTGCTGCTGCGCGGATGACGTGGTCAGTTCTCAAGTGCCCGAGACAAACCAAGGGGAAATGTGTGTCTGGAAAACCTGATTGGTGATGCTGAAAGAGTGCATAGACCTATAAATCCTACTAAAAACACAAACCTTGCTAATCTGCTCCCTGGTGCCAGTACCAGGACAGTGCCTTCTCTGGTAATGAAAAGTAGGCTTTACTTTATGGATCCCAGCGAGACAAAAACTAACACTTCCTCAGCCACAGGTTTAATGTGTTCGGAGTTGAGTCTGTGTCTCACTCAAGGTCCCCCCAACTGCTAAGTCTTCTCCCCAGTTCCTGTGTCTGCTTTTCTGGTTTTTATTTGAAGGATTACAATGACAATCTTGGCTTTCTTTAAATTGATGTCAAAACTCCTCTTGGCTGCAGTAGGCTGAGGACTATAGGTTGAGTCAAAGGTGTTGCTGCAGCTGCCTGAAGTTCTCTTCTGTTACAGGTTTGAGTGGTGTTTGAGAGATCTCCAGTTTTCATGTGCTCCTGTGGTGATTCTCTAGAAATGAATACCTTTTTTTAGCCACGCCTGTGTGAATCTAAGTAAGATAATGGCTGGTCAGTGTCACTAAGTGCTCTTTGACTTAAAAATTTGTTTTCTCTACAAGTCCATCAGAATCAACACAGTGTGAGCTTGAGGCAAGGACCTTCCCCTGCACCTGCCTGACAAATGGGCTGTGGCCAGGGGGTGTGATTATTTGCTGAGATGAAGTGGCACATCCTTCCTCTTGCTTTGATTAAGTGGGGACTGAACTATCTGAGGTTCACAGAAAGCATGCTTAAGCATACCAACACATAGAAATCAAGCTCTTTCTGTTACATTTTCCCAAGTCTCTGAGGGTACAGGTAACCTTATTAAGGCAAGTAAAGAGTTGGGAGAGATGTTAGGCTGTTGTTAAAAGAAAGAACCTGTGAAAATGGTGTCAAAGACATCTAGCAATGGGATTGTCAAGAATCTGGCTCTTCTGGATCCATGCTCTCACAACTGCTTTGTATTCAGTGTATTTGGCCACTTTTCCAAAGATGAGGTGCCAGTGTGACTTATCTCATTTGGGTTTTGGTATCTGGATAAGGATAAGCTTAAATTTTATGTTTAGAAATGCAGAAGAAACAGTTGAGATGTGTTTCCAGTTTCAGTGCCTGGAGCAAACTCAGACCAAACATAATTTTGTAGAAAGCCAGTGTTCTAATTTCAGGTGGTGTAATCTATTTCTGTTGATTTTGCTCTTTTGTACTGATATGTGAGTTAGGGTTTAATTACTTACTTTTCAATGCCAATAACTGTAATTTTAGTTTCTTTGTGCTTTAGTAGTAAGTCAGTGCCAGGGGTTTTTTTCAGACTTGAGATGGTGCATTTGTCATGCCTTGCAGAACGGGTTGGGAAGCAGCGGAGAAGGCTTTCTCTCACTTGAGGTGACAGTGATGCTGAGCAAATGAGTTTCCTAAGTATGAATTTCTCATGGAACACCTGGGAAAGTGTTTCATTGTTGTTTATGTAGACCATTTAATTGCTGTAACAGTTAAGTGAATATGCTTTGACAGAAAACCTGGATTGAGCACTCTGGCTCCGCCAGGAAGCACTGCTTTTACAAAAGAGGTGTCATCTCCCGAAACCTCCATG